ACGTACGTAATCCTTTTCTTTCGATTTGCCGGTACTTACACAGGACCGGGGAATCTTTGCAAAACCGCTAACTCGATTATCGAAATTGCGACCGTTCAACGCGCCAAGTTTCCGCGGTGTAACTCTCTTACCGTGTATCTCGGTTACTTCCCAGAAGTAAATAACGCTCCAATTGCTTTGGATGGATTAGCAGAATCGAGTGACGACTCGAGCGCATACCTCCCAGATAAACAGTTTTACCTCTAAGAATGCATTTGTCGCAAATAAATTAGACTGTTGCATTATCGTCTCTTTACTTTCACGTTACCTCGCGAGTGTATCAAATTACGAGTTGATCGCCACGCGTTAGATCTCTGGCATTAGCGTTAGGTCACCGAGCGTTGACATAACTACACCTTAGATCATCGCGTATTACCATACGCTAAATCTCTGCGTTGCGTCACCTGGATCTCGCTACATAGCCACATTGCTAACTACAAAAACTAAAAAGGAAGCAACAGAGAAAATTGAAAGACAAAGAAATCGATGGTTCCTGATTTTGTTTTTGAAAGTGCGTCGAAAACCGCGAAAATAAAAGAGGAAAAAAGAAGAGAAGGAGAGGATGGGCAACTTCTCGCAACTCGACACCTGTGCAAGCCAGCAATACTCTCTCTCGTTTACCGCAGCATACGAGGTGGCGAAGAGGACGTTTCCACATGGCCGCTTCTGTAAACACCTTGGTGTACGCCGAGAACGAGAAGAAAAGCGAGGAAGAACCTCTCTTATCTGCTGAGCAGAAATAAAAACGGCCGACGACTGTTGTCAAAAAAGAATACGTCCGTGTGACACGCGAGCATGCTTTTTCCCCGACACGGTACACCAACCTCGAAAATCCACCGCGACAGAGGCACCATTTTTTAAACGAGCTTTTGAATTAACCTTTTATACGCGCTTTTATCGCTCGCGAGCAATGCGCAACGTGTCTATCGTGAATTCTTAATGTCTTTCCGCATCGTGAATTATAAGCGCGTTGTGCGGAGTGTCGGAGAAGAAAAAACGCTGGAAAGGGGTCATCTTCAACGGATGCATTTTTAGGGGCTTATGAAGAATACCTTCTGTATTCTCGTGTCGATATGTAGAGTACACTCTAACTGATCACATTTTGATCACAGCTTCAAACGTTATTACCTGCCATGACGAATGTGGACAAACTATAGGTAAGAATAGTAACTCTTTTTCAATTGTTTCTTAGTACTGAAGGGGTTGCGTGAAATAAGTAATTGTGTTCATAAAAATGAATGATTGAAGAATTATTCAAACTTGATACATAAAAGACAGTACATACCTGGAGCAAGCTCCAAGGTTTAATGAAAAAGTAACTGTGAAGGGTTTTGCAAGAAGGTACAAGAATTGTCAACGTGTTAACAAGTGGAAACAAATGTGTTGCATAAGAGAACATAGGTACGTAGATACAGCATAAATGTCTAACCGGTGGTCTAACCCGTTAATCAGCATGGTAGCAAACAAGGTGGACGTGGTCGGACAAAGTGCATTACCGACATATCGAAGAAAAAGCGAAGACTCTTTCCACTGCTATAAAACCTCACCCCTTTATCTCTGGGCCGTCCTCCGCGTTCGTCCCTCGAGCCGACTAGTCTCGTTCGCTTCTGTCGCGGTCGTTGCTCGCTCTAAATCACAACTTTTCGCCGTGCGAGCCACGCTACATGGAAATGCAAATGCGAGCCGTTAATCTCGGTAATAAATACGCGCGCCTGCTGCTTAAGTTCGCGAGCCGAGTCGAGCGGCTCTCGCTGCGGGCGTACACGCGTCCTCCAACTTTTCACGACGTCTTTTCTCTCTTTCCACTTTGAAGAAGAAGAACGGAGTCCACTTGCTCTTATTCTTCTGGCGTCTTTATTTCCGATCGCGAAATGGAATGGGCCACGACCCCGCGAAACCAATACACGCAATCGACCGATGGAGACCTCGAGTGTCACTTTACGATCTCGATGGTCGAACCTTGGATTTACGGGCGGAGAGGTTCCTTGCCCTCTACCTTGCACAATTCTCCTGAATTCTTTTACGGTTCGTTCATCTTTCCTCTGTTATCGTAAGACGTTACAATTTTATTCCTGTTTCAAGGAATTTTGCTACTCGAATTTTATCGGTACTGAAATTCTATCCATATTTGACCACGACTTGAATTCTACTCAACTTTCGTATTCTTAGTTATCCTACATTTCCCTGCATCTTCTCTATATCTTACCTCGACTTTCTTTTAATTAATCCACCTCGAACTTGCTATAGCAGACGTATAATTCGCAATAGGTTTTCTTATATCGACCAAAGTACGGCAATAAAGAGGACGTCACGTTCCTGGTCGCGAGTGTAGTCCGAAATCTGATAGCCACGAAACGTGACAAGAGGGTTCTACTTCCTCTTGCAAAATAACGCACGGACTGATCGAACTTCAAGCTACATCTTTATATACAATAAATAGGGAAAAATGTGTCCTCTTCATTTTCTTGCAAATTTTTACTCTTCTATCTTCGACCCAAATCGTATGTGAAAATGTTCGTATGTACTGTATGTGTGCATACATGAATTCTTATGTACTCGGATGAATATATACATGTATGAATGCATGTATTGACGTGTGCATGTATGCATGTATACATGTATGAGTGTATGTATTGACGAGTGCATGTCTGCATGTACACATGTATTGATGCGTGCATGTATGCGTGTATACATGTGTGAATGCATGTAATGACGTGTGCATGAACGTATACATGTGTGAATACATGTATGCTTTGGTGTATGAATGCATACGTACACATATGCATTGACGTGTAAATGTATGTATACACGTATGAATACATGTGAACATGTATGAATGCATGTATTGATGTGTGCATGTATGCGTGTATATATGTATGAATGCATGCAATGACGTGTGCATGTATGTATACATGTGTGAATACATGTATACTGTGGTGTATGAATGCATGCGTACGCATATGTATTGACGTGTAAATGTATGCATACACGTATGAATACATGTGAATATGTTTGCATATATGTATCTATGAGTCAGATCCTCGATATCAGAGTATTGATAAAAACCGATAAACGTCACAGACATTACATTTCACCAGTTCCTCGACCTTGTCACCGTTTTCTCGTTTGACGCAGGTTCTCGACTTTCATCGTGAAGTCGAAGGAAGAATGACGCAGGTGTTACGTATCGCGTTTTTCCGTTGTTCCCGATTACTTCACGTTCAATGTCGGGATAAACCGAACGATTAACAGCGAGATTACGGATCACGCGTCACGAGGAAACCGACGGTCAAGCCCGATAACGCTGCAGCGGAAAACGAAGAAAAGTCCGCGAAATTCGTGGAACGCGCGACAGGTGCACGGCACACGGCTTCGTGAATCCACGAGGCTCGTAAAACGGTTATTAGGAAAGTTTAAAAGTCGCGAAACACCTGTTGAGCAACGGTGAGGGGCAAACGACGATGACTCGAAAAGGTGATTCGAACATCGTGCGGGAAAATTGTATCGCAAAAGCTCTTTATAACCTTTTCATTGCCGGTGGCGCCTGTAGGCGACGGGGAAATTGATCGTGCGATGTACGGCCGCCCATAGCTGTTCGATCGATGTTAATTATAAAAAGTAATCATGTTTTTCCGTGGATGAATACGTTTGACACGCTACGTCGATACTTCGTTAACGCGTTGATGAATGGCACGCGATGGATTATCGAAGACATTAAGGATTCATTTTTTAACACGTGTTTTACAAACTCTGCGATCAACTATGGAAATCTTGTTCTTCAATTTTTTCCGTATCTAAGAGCTTGTTAATTCGTGCACTTATCGATGTATTACGAACGTAATAATAACGGACGTACATAACGTTTATTTCTAAAGAGGTAATTTTTATCGATAAAACTCGTTGCCACAAATTTACAACCGCGTCTCGCTGCATCCTCATTAGAGAACGTTAATGTAGGTTCCACGTTACAGGAAGTGAAACCCGCGTAAAAGTATGAATGAGAGGAGTGTAAAACGTGAATCAAAGCAGCGAGTGAATGGAAACAAAAACATACAGAAGCATTGTTGTTAATGAAGATGGAATAACAAGAGCCGATTACGAGCAGCAGGAAAATGAGCGCGTGACAATATTTCCTTTTCAAATTTAAAATAGCACTCCACGATCCTTCTGTAAGAAGCTGCAATTTCTTTCCGTGTCCGTGCCGAGGAGCTCGTGCATAATTAACCGAATTACGAAACTTTAGTTAGAAATAGCGAATCGAACGGTGACCATGAACCAAACTTTCCCATTTCGATTCGAGATTAAAAATACATTCGAATAAGAAGGAAAGGGTTAGTCGATGTTTACGAGCGGCGAGAGATACCGAACGAGTCTTTGGGCTTCGCCATAACGGTCGTATGGGATTTCTCTATGGACCCTCCGGGCAGCTGCTACCGCGTCGGTATTCGTCTTCCAGATTCGAGACTGAAATCGGAACACCCCGAAGATCGTGCGTACAATATGCCGGAGGACCAAATGTTTCCTGAGGGTACGACGACAGGACCAGCAAGAAAAAGGAGGAGTTCAAGCGATACCATATGGTGTCTAAACGACCTATCGACACACTAATACCTCTAACGACACCTCGAAAACAGGGTTAATCTTCGAGATTCAAAAAATCTATAAATATCGCGTTCTGTTAGAAACGCGTACCATACGTGCCTTTAAAAAGCACCGATATTAGGTCTGAGAAAAAACCAGGGGTTTCAAATGTGAAACTGTGCAAGTTTTCGAATTTAATTCCCGAAACCGCGAATCGACGAATTCCCACATTATCTGTTTTCTCGAAGAGATCAGCGTACGCAATTAAGCAGTGACGTTACATGCGAATACGCGTATTAAAATTCTTGTCGAGAGGCTTCCTCGGGGTATCATCGTAAACGATACGAGTATAAGATGAAGACTTTGGTAGGCAGACTTACCCTTACGGGAGCACGAAAGAGCGGAGCAGCGACGGTATGCGGATTAGCATGGTGGTGAGCGTGGTTATGATGACCATGGTGATGGTGTCTGGTGTCAGGACCACCTCCTGCAGCCGCCTGCTCGGCCTGGACCGACATCGCCGCGCGGGCCTGTCGTTCCCGCTCCCGAAGCCGGTCCCGGTCCACGCTAAAAACCCAAAATTCCGTTTCGTTACTTCCCTTTCGACTTTTTATCTTATTACGTATATTCAAGTTATCGAAATCCGCGCTAAACGCTCTGAAAATCACTGTCGCTAGGTATCATGACTGAAAAGTGTCGTTGATTTTTATAGCGCAATAATTTCAAGCTTAAGTTTCATGAAAATATTGTTAATCTAACGTGATATCATGTCGTATATTGATGATCGGATTCTTATATTTCTATGAACATCCCACGCCGGTATTTTCTAAATCTGTGTTCCCACATTCCAACATACCAACCCTTCGACCCTTATATTCTCAGCTTTCTATATCCTCAGATTCCTATGTTTCAATGTAACGGAATCACATCCCTGTGTCTACGTTCACAAATCTCCATATTAATCATCAGTTCCCCGCAACAGTGTAATAGAATCTGATATCACAAAATAGCGTTTACATTTTAAAGTTCCAAGAAAATAATTATACAAAATTAAACGAACGGTTCTTAATTAAATGCAGCAGTAATTACTCGATGTATACGTCAGTCGCAATCAAATCAAATATTAATAGCGTCCATGACATTGAGCTGTGTTTCAAGCTTACAGTTTTATAATCGAGACTCTGTTAGTTTATAGAAACAGATTGTTTTCGATCTGTTGCTCAACGAGCTGCTTTGTCATTGTAAAGGAAATCCACGGAGGAGGAAATTTTCATAGCATCCGCGTGAGTCATCGAGAATAACTCGGACATTTTAGGAAGTGAAGATCAGCGAGGAGGAAAGGAAAGGAAGGAGGATAGACGAGGGCAAATAGAGACAAGAGAAGGGCAGCTGCAGCCTGCGCGAACACCTGTTTAGCCGCGTTTCCGGCGACGCCATGGATTGCGTACAAAATGAACGTACACCGCTGCGGTTTATCGATTCAGGGGCAATTGCCAATTTCAAAACGCCGAGCCTTTGTTTCTTATCGAAGTCTCTGATAACTCGATACAGTAAAAGAGTATAAACTTAGGAAAGTACAATGAAAATTTTGTGTTCTGATCCTGGAAAATTCGCGGAATTCCTTCTTTTTAATTATTGGCCTGATAATCACCCATTTAAATTAGCCGAATAATTTACGGCGCGATGAAAGATAGAGAATTTTAAGTAATTGACATTAAAGCTTTGGCAATTACGTGGAAATCCGATGATCGATACAGTTAATTATATCAATGGTCTAGCAACGTGTTTACGAATTAAGTAGATTGAATTTCGACGTCCTTTCGCATCAATGTCTGCCAGGCTGAAAATAATTATCGTGTAAAATAACGATACGAATTGAAACGTAACGAGCATTGCGATTGCGTGCACAGTTAAGCGCGGTGTAGGCTTTCTCTGGATAAAGATAATTGTAGGAAGTGCTGTATCTCAACATCTGCCCTCGATTTTAGGAAATCACGTGATTATGAAATTTTGAACACTTACACTACCGTCCATAAGTATCCGGACACCAGCGAAATATGCATTCGCGTTGCATGAAAGTTATTCAAGTATTTGCAACAGTAACTAAAATCGATTTTTTTGTCTGCGAACGTCAGAATACTGGAACGTTTTCCCATTGATAATTCTCGTTTGGAACTCATATCTCGATGGAAAAGAAGCTACCGACGAACTGAACCCAACTGTCGAATGCGTAGCGTTACCTCCATTCTTATCTCCGTTGAGGGAACCTGAACATCTACCAACAGTTTACAAACACTTGAAACATATCGAAGAACCCTCTGAATACATTCTGCGCCATAGAAATGAAACACAGTAGAAATTAAAATTTTTTTTAGAATCGAAAGCGTTTCATTAGATTCACAAATTTGGACTTTGTACTTCTGGACATGAATTTTACTTTCA